AAACAGGAAAAAAATCGATAAGATTATTAATGAGATTATTTACTGATTAAATTATTCTTAATTATTACATACCTATAGCAGAATGTATGACCGTACAGAATTAGAATAATGTAATATAATTTATATTTCTTTGTATTTTTTCTTTGCCACAGATTAAGTGATATAATTTTATAGTATATTTACATTGTTGTAATAAATATTTTAATTCTAATGTAATTTCGCAATTTCGAAYAAAAATTAGTATTTTCTACACTTGATTCATCATTGAAAATTATGGATTTGCCATGTGTTTTTAATTATTACGGCTTTATTCAGGCGCTTTTGGAATTTTTGTTCGTGAGCTTCACGATCCACTCGATCACAGCATATRCAATACGCCGCATACAAGTTTTTCGAGTCAGTTATGTATTTAATAAAACAACYGCTTTTCAATTACATGTGTAAAATAGCATAACATTGATTTTGAAATATCATAAACGTTTGTTTTCAAACATAAATCTCATGTAAAATAATATTATATATATGCAAATAATATACATACTATATACTATAGAATATATTTCAAATATAAATAGATGCACTTTGGTGAATATTGAAATATCTATACATCTTCACAGGACATGAATGGCAAATGTATTTACCTATGTACGCTAACTGTCAGACCTTTCGACCGTAAAAACATTTATAATATAGTACGAACATKTTTCTTCGTGTACACAATATTTCATCGATTTATCTACAGAAGCTTATGAGAAGATARTTTTACAAACTTGTCGTGCTCTAAAATTCAACCTTCAATAACATTAACAAAAAACTGAATTTTAACGAAATATTTATATTATATCATGTCTGATCCCCCACCTGGTTTGACCCTTTTACGACATTATAAGTTCAGTTATTAAGTCTTTGTAGTTTTCCGTCTTAAGGGTTGGTAGAAAATTGTGTTTTTTAGGAAAATMAAAATCACATAATAATCGTTTAAATCACTTTGTGTCAATAAGTGGGATTCTTTCGAACATGAGTCGCTTTCTTCAGATAGTTCTTCGTTGTGATTTAGAACAAGTTCAAGAGTAGAACCCTGATTTTCAGAGTTCGACTCTATGTAGGATGGGTTTCGTATTTTTTTTGTAGGTAATACGAAGATATCTCAATTTTGACTCAAGTTACAGCTTGCACAGACGGACAGACAGATAGTCGCTAGGATTTCAAATTTGCTCGTAATCCTTCTTCATCATTTATATGTATTTTTATAACTCAATATCTGTGTCGTTTAGTTTCAGGCGATATATACAACCGTTAGGTGAACATAACTAATTATTAAGCAAGAGTATAAAAAACATGTATACGAGGTCGGGAATGAATGTGTAGCTACAAAAAACTGCATGTGATTGAGTCAAAACTATTAAAGTATACTAGCTGACCCTGCAGACGTTGTCCTGAGTGAAATTATGTGTTTTGAAATGAAAAGATAAAAATTCATGTTGTGCTGATAATCATTTATTTGCGATTTGAGCACGACACGTATATCTGGCCGCGTGAAAAACATCGCATTTCCAAATTTATTCCACCCACTATGCGTCTATCCTGTTGATCGTCATCTCAAATTAAATTTTCACTGGAAACGGAATACATACGTTTGAACTGAAATAGCAAATCGTTAGAGCTCAAAAGAAATGCTTAGAATCAATCATTCTGCCTCTTATATTTGGTAGATGCGTCACAATCAGATTGCGAAACATCATAACGACACATCCAACTTTGAGACGCAAATGATGCGGTGGCATACCAAGCCTCTCCAAAGAATTTTGAAATTTCACTGGGTAATTTAGGGTAACGTCTTCATTTTCAAGACGATAGATCGATTTGTCTTCCGGAATTTGACTTTGAATCTTCCAGTTTAAGTCAACAACATCGGTATTTGTGGAAGCTAACATTGTACGTAGAGGATAGAGTCCTGTGTAGAAGTTCACGCAAGTGCGGAAAGTTCTCTGATCGCCATTCACTTGGGAGTGGCCAGAAATGAATCTTTTACATATGATTCAAGCAGCTCACGACTTCCGGTCCTTGACCAAGTATCCTCTGGGTAGCCTAAGAACATGAGTTTGAAGGCGAGCTAAAGTGAGAAGGCGAAACATTCCCTGCATAGGGTTGTGCGCTGGGTTTGGGACCCGTTACATAAAAAATCCATCCMAATGAAAACCCAACAACAGCCTCGGATGAGAGACCCCACTTTTGATGACGATCATGGCAAACGAAATAAGGACTACGATTTGAGGGCATGCACCTGGAACGTCTGGTCCCTTAATTGGGAAGGTGCCGCTRYCCAGCTGGTTGATGTCCTCGTAAAAATAAAGGCTGGCATCACCGCCGTCCAAGAAATGCGATGGACGGGACAAGGACAGAGACGAGTAGGTCCTTGTGGCATTTACTACAGTGGCCATATAAAAGAGCGCAAGTTTGGTGTGGGATTCGTGGTGGGAGAGAGACTTCGTCGCCGAATACTATCATTCACCCCGGTGAATGAACGTCTAGCCACAATCCGCATCAAAACGAGGTTCTTCAACATATCGCGTATTTGCGCCCACGCTCCGACAGAAGAGAAGGGCGATGTGACCAAAGATGCCTTTTATGAGTGCTTAGAAAGCACTTATGGGAGCTGMMCCCGCCACGATGTCGAAATCGTGCTTGGCGACTTTAACGCCAGGGTGGGCAAAGAAGGTATCTTTGGCTCTACGGTCGGTAAATTCAGCCTTCACGAGGAAACATCCCCAAATGGGTTGAGGCTTCGCCGGGGCCCGAGATATAGTTATCYGCACTACTAGATTCCAGCATAAGAAGATACATCAAGCTATGTGGCTGTCTTCGAATCGAAAAACCACCAACCAGATCGATCATGTTGTGATAGACAGAAGACACCAGTGTTTTAGATGTGTGTGCGCTCCGAGGTCCTAACATCGACTCGGACCACTATCTTGTWGCAGCCAAGATTCGCACCCGCCTCTGTGCAGTAAATACGCACACTATCAAACACAAGGAAGGTTCGACGTCGAGAAGCTGCAATCACAACAGACAGCCGAACGATTTTCTACTCGGCTAGCACTCTTGCTCTCTGAGAGAACTCGTCAACAACTTGGTATAACTGCAACAACACAACTGTGGGACTGCATTTCCTTACATACAGCTGCAACCGCAACCATTCGTTTTCGGAAAATGCAAAATAACAGCTGGTACGATGAGGAGTAGAGTAAGCCTCCTCAATATCGCATATAAGGTTCTATCGAGCGTATTATGTGAAAGATTTAAGCCCACCGTCAACAAACTGATTGAGCCTTATCAGTGTGGCTTCAGACCTGGAAAATCAACAATCGACCAGATGTTCACCATGCGCCAAATCTTGGAAAAGACCCTTGGTAAGAGAATGGACACTCAGCATCTTTTTGTCGATTTAAAAGTCAGCACGAAAAGGAGCTCCCTTTATGCCACAATGCCTGAATTTGGTATTCCCGCAAAACTAATACGGCAGAACTAAATAGAGAAGGTACCATCTTCTATAAGAGTGTACAGCTGCTGGCGTATGCCGATGATATTGATATCATTGCTGTTATCTCGGCTATAATCGCGTAAGCGGTGGCTACGCCAATCAAGATGAAGAAGWAGAAGAAGAACATGCACGTGCACTCAAGGAATCGTACTTACGATAATTTGGCCAATTTAGCGTATAAACCTTCGTGAWGAGTCCATCTTTCGTGAATTGATAAACGGCATATGSAATTGATATYAAACCACCTGAAGTATCAACCGGTATTGATCCATTTCCAATTGTTAGCGTACACGCTATTAAATATCTTCGGCAATATAATTATTGCTCGTATTCCATAATTGACGCGGATTTGAAGGCTGGCGGTGTTTCCATTGGATGTACTTCTCTGGGTTGAAATAGACTCTTTGGTCATTCTCCAAAATAACTTCGAGACGCACAACAGTCGAAAAACGTTCATGAATTGCAAAAGTAAATATCCTACAAAACGCTTTATTGCAGTTTACGTATCGTTCAAGACCAATAACCGCCATGTTACTTAATTTGGTGACGTATTTACAAACGTATTTTATCGATTACCCCAAACTGCAATAGGCAACATTGACATGACTTWTGAATATTGAATATGAATGAGACAACAGTAGCGAGTATGGTATGATCCATGAGTTGTAAACTTCGATATTCATTCTTCCAAATTGAATGCTTCATGTTCTGCCATTGTCGTCTGGTGTTCGCCGCCGAGTGAGTGGATATCCATCATTTCTAGTTACCGAAATTGAGCGATTYAAATAATCYACAGATCAAAATATTGTAAAACAAARCAAACAAAAATTWAAAAAAATTTGTATGGAAAAAGCAATTTTTTGGATTTATCCAATTTTCCGACTTTTCCTTACGAAAAGTATAGGTCATTTTAATTTCTAAACCTTCCCCGATCCACAACGAACAACCTCTGATAATWTCATCAAGTTTGTTGCAGCCGTTCTCTTAACGTTTGTATGGGSAAAAAGAAAAAGGCTGTTTTTAGGGGTTTTCCTTCAATTATTCGAATAATTCGAATTTTCTAGCCGTAAAAACTATCCTTGAAAATCTTACAATTTAAAAAAGAATTGGCTAAATTGGTACCGGCGTTGTTGAGTTTTGCGCGTAGCAACACATTTTGCGATTGAATTTTATATATAAGAAGATTGTTAATAATGTGTTTATCCCACATCAACAAAAATCATCACAAAGTTCGTCTCACAAATTTTTAACACCGATTTTGTTTCATATTGTGAAAATGATAATTTCATCATTATGTTTTCACTAACTTATGTTGCAGGATATTCACAATGCCAGTTTCAGCGTCCAATATTCTTATGATTCATGGCACCCTGTCATATTAATTTTTAAAAATTAATAATAATACTTAAAATATGAGAGTAATTAATGTACTGACTGTCAAATGAAATATAAAATTATGTCAGTGTTTACCAATATGAAAGATATACATACATATATTTTTGTTTATTTTCAGAGACATATTAAGAGGTTATGTAATAACACAAGAACAATAAAAAGTTTTACTTTCTAATAGTGCTTTGTATCCAACTAACGAAAGCATCTACACGGGTGTAAACACCGGGGAAACCTTTTTGTCCACACGGTGTGGGACCAAATGAAACTACACCAACCAAAAAGTATGCTTCCCTTCCATTAACCGATTGAGCAAACATTAGAGGGCCACCAGAGTCACCGCGACATGTGTCAATACTTTTCTCACCGCCCGCACACATTTGACTGTTGCCCAACTCGATTCTAGTGTAATGACGGTATTTTGCTTTACACCTTTCCAGATTTTCACCTCTCACCAACGCCTTTAATTTCTTTTGGCTACTATTGGATGTTTCTGTTGCACCCCAACCAGCAATGTCCATAGTAACGCCTTCATAATTACTTGTTGAAGAGCTTGGCAAGCAAATAGGACTAGTGAAAGCATTGAAACTGACTCTTTCTTGAAGACGCAGTAAGGCTATATCATATGTTTGGGTTCTAACATCGTACAGTGGATGGCATATTTCTTCCTCAATATTTATATTGATATGTGGACTCGAACAAAGTTTATTGCCCTTGCTATCAAATTGGCAATCGATTTGTGTTTCTAAGTCCCATTCACCCAAACGAACTCCAGTTAGGCGCCAATGTGCAGGCAGTACACGCTTGCTAACACAATGTCCTGCCGTTAAAACGTATCGGTCGTTAATCAGACTAGCACCGCAATGAAGACCTTCGCCACCGTTTCCTGCAAAAAGAAAGAAAGAAATACTAAATTAATTATGACAAGAAAACATTTTATACTCTACATGCAAGAACCAAAGTCCGAGAAATTCCTTCATGTTCTGGCAAAATTATATCTATTTTTGGTAATAACGCACCCTATTAACATACCACACACTCACTAATCACCCACCATCACCAATCTACCACATAAGGTGTTTTCCAAAGTAAACAGGACTTAAAAAAAACAGAACAAATGGTTTTTTTCGGCAAAATCAATTTATTTTATTCCGGTGCAAGCCTTTTGAATGACCTGTAAGTCTGCATAACGCTTTCATGGGCAAATGCATTTTTCGGAAAAGGAAGAAGWCGCACAGTCACAGTCGATAATGATTAAAATGTGATCTTTGGTGGAATAATCGGTCACAAGCGTCGAATTGAATGTTGGATTCTGAGCAATTTTTGGTCGT